CTATACCTACCTACCTATACATACCAACCTATAGCTACCTACCTATACAAACCTACCTATACCTACCTACCTACCTATACCTACCTACCTATACCTACCTACCTACCTATACATACCAACCTATACCTACCTACCTACCTACCTACCTACCTATAGATACCAACCTATACCTACCTACCTACCTATACCTACCTAAATAATTATCTTGTATACAATGTTTCTGTCTTCTTTTCCAATAATCTTTTTCCATCAGTGCTCAAGCATTGAAGGTGTGTGTCCTCTCAGCTGTCAGAATGCTGTAAGTACACAGCTTCCTGTTACTCTTCAACAAAACTCGTCTTTTTTCTTTTTAATCTTAAAACCTGCTAAATATTTGCAACTGTTTGCTCTGTTGCCTCAACAGGACCTTAATTGCTTCTTAGTAGACAACAATGGCTTCATTGTGCTGTCCAAAGAGAGGAACGAGGTAAGAGCAGACCTGGTGAAAAGCTTGAACTTGGGTTCTCTTGTCTGAAGGGTGTGTACACACCAGAAACATGCTGTATGCTCTTTTTCTCACAACAGTTCACATGTATCAATAAAAAATGACAGTGGAAAGCCCATGCCAACTTCAGAGCTGATGTATACACGTTTCTGCAGGTTTTGGTTCAGAGTGCATGCTGAGAAATTTACAGCTATGTCAAGCTTTTTCATGTTTGAGCGTTTATGATAACAGTTTGTTAACGGGCTATAAGAAGCTCAACCCGTTCATTTAAACCTGTCCTTATTAATATCCCAGACAAGCCAAACTATAACAACATTTATAATCATTATAGTTCTGTGTGGTGATGTACCATTTAAAATAATACAGCACATTATACACCACTCAACAAACTATTATACAGCAAGATAGCAATGGCCCGGACAAGCAAAGACCTTGTATAGACGCATGGACACTTAGAGACCACAACACATCTGCTCTCACTCTCCCTCAGCAGCAACAGCACTACCAACTGAGCCACCGTGCCGCCAAAACTTGAATCCATTCCTAAAAATTGATTTTGCTGATGAGCATTTCCAAGAAGCTGCAGTTAGACCGAAATGAGATTTGAAATGATGAGTTGTGCAAGCAGTTAATCCAGATGTGCACATGGCTAGCTCTGCACGGCCAATCATCTTAGTCACTGACAGGAGTGTCCATGTTACTCAGATGTTAAAACAGAGGGTATAGAGTTGGAATGGATTTCGTGATCAGTACTGCCCAGCCTTGGGCCACTGGTCGGTGTGTCCCTTCTGTTTGGGCCCATTTGCAATGCTAGCTGTTCATGCCACTGCGATGCACACTAGTTCTTGTTCTGGGAGATTGCTTTGTTCAGATCTTAGATTCTGTAGCTTTGAGGCAATATCATTATGTGACACTTCTGCTCTCATATGCTTTTTCGGTATTGCTTAGAGATTGAGAGATGAGAGTATAGTGGAGGTGAGAGTAGGTTTTGCTTCTTAAGTGTACCTTCTCAGGTGAATCGCCAGAAATTCGATGCATTGTTTGACTGTCTCTAGAGCTTCATGGATGGTCAAGTTTAGGTGTTTTCGTGGTAGGTCTTTGCACCTTTCTGTAGCCAGTGGATTTCTCTTTGTGTTGATCTTATATCCTTCATCAATGACCACTGCAGCTGTGGTGTTGTTGTCCTGGCTCCTCTTTGTTGTATTCTCTTTGTTCTGCCTTGTCAGTCTATGGGTAAGAGCAGATTCTTCTCTCGAATGTTGGAACTGGGTTTGAAGTTGCTGTTGCGTCAATCTGGATGTTTCATATGAAAGTTTCTATAGTTCCCCACATCTTCCTCCCATAGACCTTCTCTTTGCTTTCTACCAGTAACAAGCAGTACGCCGATGTCCGCCATCGATGAGAGAGTTCAATAGTGAATGTTTGTAGTTTTCAAGATGAGTGTTTTCTGGACTGGAATTCCACGATGGCAGAACCGGGGGTAGACAATGATGGCTTTGCCTACTATACATTAATCTTCAGCTACCCCAATCATTTAAGGAAAATATACTCTTGGGCAATATAAAATGTAGAAAGCACAGGTTCCTCTAATGATTGGGGTGGCCAGTTTACATTTATTTAGTGGTGGCCATCTTGGATTTTGACTTGGCAACGCAATTTTCAAAAGGAGCTTTTCTAACACCGAGATGTAGCCACAAAGCAAAATGAAAGACAGTCCTCACTTATTATTTAAGTTCTCATGCTCACACCACAGACGGATGGAGAGTATTTTCCCTGTCTTCTCTTGTAACTGGGGACAATAAGTTCTCTGCCCCCGTCCAGGTATATCTTTTTCCAGTAGCCCATTTCGCATCAGAATATCTTTGTTCCCAACATCTGATGTGGACCTTCTCAATCTGAACCAGCACAGCATCATTTTATGTCTCCTGCTCAGAGGTTGGCAGCACCAGGGTATAAACCCTGAACCCCTGATCTTCCTGTACCAAAGTCATGGGACATGACCTCTGTCCCCACCTCCCAGCTACAGGAATCATGTTTATTTGTGTGCTTTAATAACTGATAGACACGCACACATACAGAAACTAAGAAAAAAAACATACAAAAAATGTTATTTCCAAATGAACAGGACTTCTGTCTTCTTGGAGTCATGACGTTGACTTCTCTTGTAACTGCCATACTGAGTTTATCAGATCTGTACTTTGAGTCCAGAAAAGCTTTTGTGTTTGGTGGCGACCTTGTGGATGGTTTCCTGTGCTCATAAACAACATCTGGACGGCTCGGAGGATTAGAGGACCAATCAGCTTTTACTTTGTGTGTTTGTGCTGCATTATAAGTAATTACAACCGTTGCACATTCTGCCATCTTTAACCTCGGTAGAGCTGTACAGATGTCCATGTTGTCAAAATGTTGACTGGTCTAGATTATACAGACCTGCTGCTCTGAAAAGCATGAAATGGATTCAAACCATATTTTACCTCAAATGTTTTTACTTTTAAACTGAAATCCCCCCTCACTGAGGTTTTATTGTGAAGATTATTTTCCATTGTTGTGGAGAGAATAAGGGACCTGATGCCCTTCCTGAGGCAACCACAGACCACCGAGCTACCACAGCCCTTTGTGTGGAGCAGAGAGCTGACATCTGGGGCGCCTGGAGAACCAGAGGATGGAGTTAAGGGCCTGGCTCAAGGACCCAGAGTGGAGTAAATGACGGTGGAGGCAGGTGGGGGTTCTTCACCTTTCCCACCCACATTTTGATATTGTCTGTCCAGGGGGTCAAACAAGCGACCCTCTGATCACAGGTCCCTTCTGTTTGCCATAATCTGTCTGTGCTTCTTCATCCATCCATTATCCTTATTATTCTTCCTTTTCGGGTCACAGGGGTCACTGGTGCCCATGTCCAGCAATCACTGTGCGAGAGGCGGGGGACACCATGGACAGGTCTCCAGTCCATCACAGGGACACATAGAGACAAACGAGACAAACAACTCTCTCTCTCACCTAGGGACAATCCAGAGTTACCATCAGCCTAACATGCATGTTTTTGGTCTGTGGGAGGAAACTGGAGTACCCGGAGAAAACCAACGCATGCACGGAGAGAACATGCAAACTCCACCCAGAAAGGCCCCCAGTTGGGATTTGAACCGGCAATCTTCTTACTGAGAGGCATCAGCTCTACCAACTGCACCACCGTGTAGCACCACTCGATGCTTCTTCAAACAAGAAACAAAGCTGCCTCTGCTTTTCTCCTCAGTGTAACTTCTACCAGCTTGAATATCCCAGTTGACCTGATGCTATCAGTGTCAGCTCAACCACCTCCAAGATTAAATCGACCAAAAATAAGCTAAAAGTTAAAAACTTATCTTACACGTCTTATAGAAATAAACAGTTACTTTACCAGAAAAGATAATTAAACTGGCCTAAACCCCAAGTTGTGAATAATTTGGATGACTAACAAAAGAAAGAAAGAAAAGCAGCTCGATGCCATCTCTCCACATCAGATCTGGATTTTACCTAAATTCATTCCAGTTACCTACATAGCCCAGACCATCTCCATGACTCCACCTGGACAGCCAGCGGTTTAACGATAACGTCACAGATCAGGTTGTGGAGCAGACCAGAGAAACCAAGGCCCAACACTGTTTTGGCAAAGTTACACACCGAATCACAACTAATACTAACTTTAATTATTTCCTGCATTTCTGGGGGACATAACTGCTGATATGGACAACAGTCGTACCACATTTAATCTTAACCATAGTCCGGAGTTTCAGAAGGGATCTGATGTCGACCGCTCTGGCGCCTGGAATACGTTTGACCATGGTTGTTGGAGTCGCTGGTGCCACAAATCAAACTATGAAGCTGCCAATGACCAGAGTCAGCCTCTTAGCAGGCGATTCTATTTTGGAGTTAGATTAGTTTTTAAATAGAAACTCAAAGGTTAAAATCAGTTTGTTCCATATTCCGCATGAATATTATAAGATTTTCCTGTAATATACAGATATAGCTGCAGGTACAGAGTTCTGATCATCGAAAGGGTTGAAATGTTTCTGATTAACTGAGTTCAGCTGGTGTCCCCCTGCTTTAATGAGCGCCTCAAATGGAGTAAAGTGAGAATAGAGCTTCACCTTTTTCCTCCTCGCTCCAACCTGGTGGTCATCACAGATTATTTTTTTTATTTTGCTGCAGTATTTTCCAGTGTTTAGAGATTTACAGATTAGGAACCTTTTGTCCTTCTGACAGCTGGATGTCAGATTTGGATTAACTTTTAGGAGCCATAACACCGAGGATTATTTCTGATGCTATAAATATATACATTTATCACGTATACACACTCAGCTGTGTTTTCTTCATCCTTCTCCGGAGCAGCAGCCATTGAACCTGGAGTGTGGCTCAGAAATCAGATTTTATTATAAGGCTGTGTCCAAACGAGAACTTTTTTATTTAATCTCCAAAGCAATCTTTTTATTTGTTGTTTGTAAAAATATCCTCATAAACATGTACTAACATACTGTAAGAGGCCAGTAGGTGGCGCTCTAATGATCCCACAAATATACTCCAGAAACAGGAAATCTGGGCACAGAGCACATGATGGTTACACTTTGGAGAGGCTGTATGTATAAAGTCCATCCATCCATCCATCCATCCATCCATCCATCCTCTTTATCCACTTCTTCCTTTTTGGTTTGCGGGGGTCACTGGTGCCCATATCCAACAGTCACTGTGAGAGAGGTGGATGACACCCTGGACAGGTCTCCAGTCCATCACAGGGACACTTGGACAGGTCTCCAGTTCATCACAGGGACGCATAGAGACAAACGAGACAAACGACCATTCTCTCTCTCACCTAGGGACGATCAGAGTTACCACTCAGTCTAACATGCATGTTTTTGGTCTGTGGGAGGAAACTGGAGTACCTGGAGAAAACCCACGCATGCACACAGAGAACATGCTAGTTCCACCACGAAAAGCCTCGAGCCGGGATTTGAACCGGCAACCTTCTCGCTACGAGGCAGCAGCTCTACCAACGGTGCCATCGTGACACCCATGACAGTAATAATAACTAATTATTAATATTAATACAGAGACGAAACAGTCAGCGTGGGTGGATGGGACGACCAAACACTGAATCGGCTGTTATTGTTACTTTCGAACTACTGTTGTGAGTCCAGATGACACGATTGAACTTTTTTTGTTGTTACTCCGATGTTTGTTAAAATCACTAACTTGTACTTTGTCTTGTTCAGGTTAGTCGCTTCTTCGGCGAAGTGGACGGGTCTGTCATGGCTTCGCTTATCAAGATGGGGATGTTCAAAAAGTATGACTTTCAGTACCGTTCTGCTCAAAGTTGTCACCAAACTGATCCTGAAGATTTCTTTTGTTGTTTCAGAGTTTCCCTCTTTGACTATCAGGCGATGTGTAAAAACAGCCACCATCACGCCAGCAGTGCTCGACCTCTGCTCAGTGTGAGTCCCAGCTCTTACACAGAAACAGCATTTGTTTATGACTCTGCTCTCACATTCTTGAAAGCATCATAAAAAGATGTTCTCTTTTCTGCAGCCATTTTACGCCATTGTTGCCGTGATGAGGTGGTTCTTCTCCAATGCATTGATGTAAGTAGTTGGTGTCAGTATTGTTACATTATTGATAAGTAAATCAATGTAATGTAGCAGTTCACTGTTAAAGTGAAAGTATACTCAAAGAACAAGCACCAGACAGTTCCCAGGCACATGAACCAAACTGACTAAACTTTATGTCATGGTTTTAGAAGTTGTCTTGCTTCTCAGTCAGTAAGCGTTCTCAATTTTGACGTCAGTGACATTTATGGAAACCCAACACACACACAGCATTATTTTCTATTTAAGTCTCACCACTCATTGGAACAAAAACTTTCTATCATCAAAACTTGGCAACACCGGCCCAGTATGTCCCCATTAGAACAAAAAAGAACCATAAGGAACATAATCTCATCAAAGAACTCTTCAAAACCTGAGAATACCCTAATTGGGTATATCAGTCCAGTCAAGAAATCTGTACATCCTTGTGGAGAGGGGGTGAACGGCTCATGAGCTGAGGTTGGGTGTGTCGTAATGCTCTTTGCTCTAGGTCTTCTCCTGCTGGTGTATATCTCCTTTAGTACAGCTGCTGGTCATTTTTAAGTCGATCCAATGAATATCTTTGCAGATCTTTTGTTTCTCTCACAGCAGTTTCCAAACCAGACTGTGATGGAAAATGTCAGGACACTGTCTACCATAAACTGGAGGAACTCTTTTCATAATGCACGTGTAAAAGAAAGTCAGGACCCTCTCTAACACATGGTAGTGAAATGAAGGCATGCCCAGTAGCTGTTTTCATTTGTTCTGTAAGTTCTCCTCTAATGATGCAGAGTATGAGCACTCCTTTTGAAGTCAACATCTTTTTCGTTTGACAACATGAAGTTTTTGACCTTACACCAATCTTCTCCAAGCTTCTCCACTTCTCCTCTTATGCATAAAAGTCACAATAGTTGGAAATCAGTCCAAAAGCAGCAGTGTCATCTGCAAACTTTCCAACATGGTTTCCTTATGCCTTGCAGAACAATGATGTGTGTGTAAGTAGAGTGTACAGAAAGGGGCTCAAGACACATTCTTGTGGGGAGCCAGTGTTAAGAAGAATGGAAGAAGATGAGACACCATAGATCTTCTAACATCCACCGAAAACTCACTAAAGGGCAGCTCCCCTGGGGAAGGCAAAGGTTCTGAAGTCTTACAGCGGATATAAAAGATTTTCAGAGCATCAGCCAGTGGTGGATCTTGAGGGCTATCAGCATCCTTTCTTTAATACTTTGTGATGCTCTCTATGCCCTTCCACATGCTTTGAGGGTCACTGGGCGCAAAACTACTTCATATCTCCTTGTTGCTCTCAGTGCCACTGGAGCTCCACTGGATCTCTTGGCAAGCGCCTGGTGCTTGAACCTCAGCTCCTTAGGCTCAACCTAGCGTAGCGATAGGATGCTACCTTCACACAAGCCCACTACCTGTGAGGAAGACCATCAAGGTTGGGTGCATTGCAAGCTTGGGGGCATTTCTGGGTATGGTAATACCTGGCAATATAAACTAGCTCTAGAGACAGGGAATGTCACCTCACGGGCTGGTAAAGAGCCAAAGTTGTGTGTAAGGTTAAGCTGTACCAACTAGACATATTTGGGCTCACTTTTACGCACAGCTAGGGCTCTGAAACCCAACTCCTGAAGAGGTGCTGTACTCTTTCTTCTCTGGAATTGCCCAGTGATCGAGATGTTGGGCAGGTGTGCAGGTATTCGCAAGTCCCAGTGATTGGAAGGAACAGTCTTCCTGATCTAAACCCCAACGTTGTTCTGTTACTGGACTTCTGTGAGCTATCCATAATGAACACCAAATTCAAGTATAGGGTGGTTCAACAATGCACTGTGGTACCAGGTCACCTTGAGCCAAAGTTTGATGATGGATTTTTTAATCATGGCATCACACCTGTAGCCTTATGTTTTAGACACTCAGCTGAAAAGAGAGGGTCTCATGGGAAGTTCAGATACCTGGGTGTCTTGTTGACATGTGATGGCAGGACAGTCGGAGATGGATCGACGGATTGGCGCCTCGTCTTAAGTAAAGAGGGTGTTGCTTCGTCCATTTGTGACGAAGAAAGAGTTGAGTCGAAGGACAAAGCTCTTGATTTCCTGGTCCATGTTCCAACCCTCACCTGAGGTCATGACGTGTGGATCATGACTTGAATAATGAGAATTCAGGATTTAAACAGCTGAAAAGTGCTTACTTCATATAGGGTGACCGGGCTCAGACTTAGAGACAGAGTGAGGAGCTCTGCCATCCTGTCTTTAATTTAAAATTTGGAACGTCACACTTTTTACCTTGAATTAGCATGTCCCTCTAACGAAAAGCAAAATATCTTTATAAGACAAGAAAAAATGGTTTCCTCAAGCTCTTTGTGGTAAATCTACTCTCGCCCCCAGACATGGGCAGGATGAAACGTTTGAATTTTGCAGGATTTTTTTTTTGTGATTCTTTATGAACGTCCTTGTTTGGGTTGCACCATGTTATTATGGGGGGGGGGGGGG